TTATGCGACGCCGTAGTGGTGCGATCCCAGTTTGCTTGAGCGTGATCTTTGCCAAAAGCCGTAAATCGGTCCAAGGAGCGTGTGTGGAAGCGCCACCACTCGTCACTTCTCTGCTCTTATTTCTGAAATTTCGAAGCCATTGGCGTTCAATGAACTTTCAACCGGGTTCCTTTACTTTTCAGATCAAATGTTCGTTTTCTTCCCAGAAGACACAAAAATTGGAATTAAGACAATCAAAGCAATTTGTCAGCAGATGCAAGAGCAAACAATCACAAGAGCAATAATAGTAGTTCAAACTGGAATGACCCCTAGCGCAAAGCAGGTAATTGGCTAAGCATAGCTTCAAGTTCCAGCAAGATTAAGAGCCAGAGTTTTTGTGTAAGCCTAGCTTTTTGTTGAAGACAACTGGGTAACTTCGTTCAGGCTATAGCTGATATGGCTCCAAAGTATATTCTTGAGCATTTTTTGGAATCTGAGCTCATGGTGAACATCACGGAGCATGAACTTGTCCCGGAACATGTCGTTATGACGAGTGACGAGAAGGCAGAGTTGCTGGCAAGATAGTGAGTTCCTCTGATATTTTGTAGATCAGATATTTTGAGGCATGACTTGTTTATGAACAGTTTTCGAGCTTTTCATATATTATATTTCGAGACACCATTCAGTACTTAAATTACTGAACTTTTTTTTAGCAAGCTGAAAGATACTCAACTGCCTCGTATCCAACTCTCGGACCCAGTTGCCAGATATTTTGGACTAAAACGTGGTCAAGTCGTGAAGATCGTTCGACCGTCAGAGACTGCTGGCCGCTACATCACTTACCGATTGGTGGTATAATTTTGTTTTTGTGTTATGATTACTGTGAATTGGTGGTTACCCTCATATTTAATATTGTTGAGTACATAATTGTTTTGAAATTTTGAGAAGAATACCCATAAAATGTTCCCTTAGCTCTTCTGTACACTAACACTCGAAAATCACCGAATTTAATTGAACACTCAAAGTATTTGGAATCTTGATGCGAAAGCTGCTTTGTTCGTTTAAAAAAAAAGAGATCATAAAGCAATTGAAGAAATATGACAGATAAGAAGAAATCGAATAGTTTAAGAGTATACTGACAAGCATTACGCATGGAAACGTTGAAGCCTCAAATGATAAACGCATTCCATATCCATTGAAGGTAGAAAACATTCAAATGTAGTTTGGTCGTACATCATGAAAAACACACACACTATTATAAATATATATTACAAACTATGATCGATAGTTAAAAGATGACAAGAGATGTGTGCAAAATAGAAGATGACATCAGATGTGGGCGTGACAAACTGTAAAGTGAGATTAGAAATTTAGAACCGTTAAAGAGAGAATAAAATTTGAGCAGCTATACAAAAATGAATAGACTGTCAATTTAACATGATATCTCTCATATGAAAATGTGAGAAGAAATTCATCTTGTTAGTGCATAACATGACAGTGAAACAATTGCATAAGGTGCAAAATAAATAAAAATGAACCGGAGAAAGTTCCATGGTAATGATGTCACCTCGAAGCAATCTCCTTGATAACTGGGTATGTAGAGAAGGAACTCGGTTGGAGTTAGTTATCTGAAAAGAGACCGATCCAAGAAGATTTTGTTTTCTCAAGAACCATATGAGAAACGCCAAGTTTCCCATTCGATTTGCACTTCATCTACATCACGTACAAAACTGCAGCGTAGAAGTGAAATGAAGAAGACGTGTTTGTTTATTTTCAAAACAATATAGTAAAGCAAATAAGTAATAGTAAAGCTGAAGGGGGTAGGAGATGGTAGAAGGAAGTGTTGTGAATATGATGTTGGTAACTTCATTAATGGGTACGTTATTCAAAACAAATGGTAGACTCTGAGGAAGGGGATCGTGCTGGTGATGAATACTACTAGAAAAAGGCGCATTAGAAATGGGAAGGAAGACGAGAATTTCGAGAAAGAAGAATTCGTAGTGCTAGGCGGTAACATGTCTTACGACATTTTTACATTCGCTTGCTATTTGTGCGAAGATTAGAACGTATTTCTGAGAGTTGGTAATAGCAATTACAGAACCAGCAAATAATGAGACGAGTTGTATTCAGTCATACTGTTGTTGTTCGCGCGCTGAATATAATAAAATAAGACGCACGAGTGGGGGGCCACGGCAACGTTCAACCTACCTCAACCAGGAAAGACGCGGCACGACTAAGCGGTGGCGATCAAAGTATGACTGAATACAACTCGGTACATTATTTGCTGACTGTCTCTGCAATTGCTTTACAATACTCAGAAATACTTTCTAATACTTCCGCTTCTTGCTCCGCAACGCTAGTTTTTGTTTTCTTTTCAATGCGGAAGGCGAACGGTTTAGTCTTGGATCAGGAGTTGAGGAAGATCTGTTAGTGCTAAGATCACACCCGGCTAACGCTGCTCGTAAACCTGCACTAAGAATGTCACACAAAATATCCGCAGATACAGGAACTGAATTAATATCGAGTTCAAATTGATAGCTCAAAATTGCGGAACTTACGTCTAGCTTTCTGCTGAAGCAAAGTAGCCCTGTCACGGCTGTCGTGACGGAACAATAATGTCAGGAATTCTCGGAACAACAATGCACAAGGTACTGCCTGCTGTATATCCACAAGTATAATCTTGATTCTGCTCTGCACAGGAAGTACCTATAATAGTTAAGATTGTGCTTTCCGCTTTCCACTAAATCCGACGAAAATGCGACTATTGTACAAATAAAGCGATATACAATAGCATAAATGATATTTTCAGAGAAAAACTGGATAAAAAACCAGGTTTCACTACTATTGTACACTTTGCCGCAGAAGCAGAGTACTTCCATTTTTATATTAGGTCGGTCCATAAGTCTTGCAACAAACTGGCCGAATTTTGAATTTAATATTTTCATTATCTTTTTGTTCCATTCATCCGGCATGCTACCCTCCATCAATATCTACAACCTATTGCCAACACACTAGTAGCTGCTCGATGCCTCCCTTGTAGGACTCTACTGAATTCTGATCGAAGAAAGATCAGATGTCGATTTTGACATCATCATAGTTAGGATGAGCTTTCTTCTCTAGGAGATGGTTTGGAGAGGGGAGCAGAAGGGCATTATTTGCCTCGAGGTCAGGGCTATAACGTAATACGGAAGAACTCCGTCCTAGAGTCTCAAAACTTTTCCTGAATTTTCTTAGCAAGAGGTGGTTCAACGGTGTCATACAAAAGCAAACTTTCTTGTTTTTCTTTCGTATTAAAAGCGTTGCATTCGAGCTGTGGATAGTTGACTTTCCGCGTTGACTGCGACATCTACACGTAGGGGTTTCCAGAGCTTAACTCCTCTCGTTTTCCACCAAAAATCCGAGAAGGCCCTACTTGGACGAGGTTGAACTTAAGCAGTAGAACTCCCGAAGCGTTTGAGCTGGACTACCGCCGCTTGTCCACTTGTTATTTGTTAGCGCACCTTATCACTCCTCGATCTAAGGCAAATGTGATGAAGAACATCGAATGTAATCGCCATGTAAGTCGACTCGAACATAATGGTGTCAGATCGTGTTCGGAGCTGAATCGGGCTCAAGGCACGTGGGGACCAAACTCTACATTTTCGGATCTTCACAAGTCTATTTGGAGATGCCACAGTGCTGTCTCCTTGTCGCATCGGAATCGCTCTAGCAAATGATCGATACTCTATCCAGATCCCTTTTCAACGCCGTCAGATATAGCATCGTGATTGTCAGTCACAGGGTGGTTGGAGTGTGGGTTATTTTCAAATAAAAAAGTCAACGCTGAGCAGAGTGAAGCGCCGTTGCACTGTGGTTTGAGAGAGCTGCCCTCGCCTATCTTCTGGCCAATCCTTGGTCTAGCATGACTTGCGGAACATTCCAAGCAGTACTCGTAAAAATTAAGGGCACGAGAGCCCTCTCGCGAAATCGGTGTAATATCCATAATAAGTAAGCAGACAACGAGCTGGACCGTTGGCTGAAATTGCAAAGGTTGATGCTAACTTCGCGGCTGCCGGCCAACCGGCCGAGTATGCGCAATCAGCTTACCTGAGTATTCGACGTTACGTTACATTATCGCAGTTAACGTCGAATACTCAGGCAAGCTGATGTCGTAATGTAACGTCGAATACTCAGGTAAGCTGATGGTGCATACTCGGCCGGATTTGCCGCGGCCGCGCAAAGCGTTGCAAGAAAAGTGAGGAGCCCTATTTTCTGATCAGGGACTTCTTCTAGTCCCGTAGGTCCAGGTCACAGAAGAGTGGGAAGTGGGCTTGAGTTTCGTCGAAAGTTTATTTTACATTATACCTTGTTTAAAACCTTCCTCCTTTGGAATCTTTGGAAAAGAGTCCACCTCCTAAAAGTTTTGAATTTTCTTCCAAACTATGTAACTTGGAGAGCTTGACGCAGTAAATTGGATATATTCTAAGATCAGAGTTTGAATCCGAAGAGTGACTGTCACGTAACATTTTCGTTCGGTACAGCGCGATAGGCCCTTTAAAAGAGACGGGTCCCACAGCCCGTTGCGTGCAAGTTCACATTGTCGTCATAGAGTTAATACGAGTAGTGACGGCTGTCTGCCATAGATGTTCCACTAGTGCGGGATCGCTAGCGGAACAAACATGGTGGAAGTATTAGGTCGGTCCATAAGTCTTGCAACAAACTACATTTAATGCTATAGAATTTTAGGGAGAACTCCTGAAAATCCGCAACATATTTCCTGACGTAGCATCAACCTTTGCAATTTCAGCCAACGGTCCAGCTCGTTGTCTGCTTACTTATTATGGATATTACACCGATTTCGCGAGAGGGCTCTCGAAGAAGTGGGGGAGCCAGAATCGTCCTCAGCCTCACAATAAAAAAAAACCCTACTAATATGCCGTTGCCTGTCTTGGCAACTGACTGGCAACTCCCAGTGTTAAAGACTTATTTATGTTTATCATTCAATTCCTATATATGGATCGCTTAATCCTACAAGCTCTTATAGGCCTGTGTCAAGGGCCCAAGAACACGAAGGGAATATTCATGCTGATGCCAAAATGGACCGCTCACACTGATAATTTTCTGTCGCAAAATCACAGCGCTGCTGAAATGCAAACTGTCAGACACCCACAAGTTATGGAAGCATTATTTTTTTCTAACCAAGGAAAAACTGAGTAAGGCAATGAGTTGGAAAAATGACAATGCATCTTATTGTAAGAATCCAAGCGAAGATCCACTGGAAAAACTCGAATGTTGGAGCAGATTCTTTTCGATGCTAATCAATTCGTTTTGCTATATGAGCTCCACAGAAAGTCGTGAAGAGGAGAAGAGAAAAATGGTTGCATGAGTACTCAAAAACATTGGATGGAGCATAATATCGTAGCGCTTGCATTTTTCTTCTTTTTTTCTCACAAACATTTGCAACAAAAAATAAAATCATAAAACTAATTAGTGATGTTCATTTCGTCATTATTTACAACTTTTGCATTTCGCAGGAACAGCTATAGAACTTGCGGAAAATATTGAGATCTTATTGTAGTCCATCATTATTATTAATATTGTACAAATGAATTATGGCTTATCGAGCAGGTAGGCGATACTGGTCAAGGAAGGTTTCGATACAAGAACATGGATATCAAAATTTCCTTGGCGTCTTCTTCCTTATAACACCGAGAATAGCAGCTGCTGAATGCAATGCCGATTTTCCAAATGGATTTTCCAACTTCTAAGCTCTATACCTGAGTACAGCTACAATTTTGAAGAAATGACAACTACGGTTTTGTAGAGCGAGAAGAGTACTTTCAAATAATATGAGCGGTTTTTCGGGTGATACTTGTACTGATTGAATTTATACACTCGAAAAAACGCTACGATATTATGCTCCAGCCCAATATATGCATTGAATGTTTCTCAAGTGCAAAACATGTTAACAATCTGAATAAGCGAGCGAATCCAAATCGGACTGCTTTTCTTCCTCCAAATTTGTTCTTTCACCGATTATTCCCATCGATATTTAACTTGGAACAAAAAAAAAGCTGTTGTACGTTTCTGCTATACATGAAGCAACTGACTTCGCCTATCTATGAGGAGTTCGAAGTTAATCATCTCCTTCACTTTCCGATAAACAATTTGATTTGGAGCTTGCGATATCTTACCTGGACAATTTTCCATCCGTCACTTGTTGCCGAAATAAAAGTAGTTAGTTCTTCTTCATGACATTGTATGACACGATACACACTTTTGAATCTCTGTAAGCTTCGAAAGATAAGTTATAGGTGTTAAAATATCCAGAAATTTCAAACACTTAGTAAACATCAAATGCTGACCCCGGCTTCACTTGAGCTCCTTTCCCTTTCATGAATTCTTTCATTAACGAGATGTACTAGCTGCGGCAGATTATAGAATTCCGCCTCCTCCAGAACTCCTGAAAATCCCTTTCATAGAGGATTAGTAGCAAATCCATATACTAATAAATCTCAGCAATCGAGAAGGCAATAACAGGAAGTTTTTATAACGCTTACCTTCATCAGCTAGACCGGGATTTATTATAAGTCTGCCGTGTCTGAGGTAATTTAAAACGGGTGAAAAATAATCCGCGTCTCGATCGATCAAGTAAGCACCAGTTTCGTCCTAAAAACGATGTCAGTCGGTGAAACGCGCTGCTACAATATTATGAATGGCCAAAAAGAAAATGATTTTCTGGTAAATGAACCTTGACGCTAGGCAGTCTCTTGTCGTCCTGGCATAAACGATAAAGGAATGAACCAGGAACTCTCATCAGAGTATCACGAGTTGTTTGAAAGATCTGAAAGAAGTCATTTACAGACGGCCCAATTACACGGCTCCCAACATCACCTGATTCCTTCAACCAATACGCACCTTTCCACCAACGTTCAGTCTAATCCAGTTATTAGCGGTACTGCTGAGATCTCTTCTGGAGAGAGATGATGACGACGTATCCAAAGGTTGTTGTCGATCTCTCGAATGAATCGAGCCAGTTACGGAACCTTCCACATCCAAATCGTCAAAAACATTCGCTCGAATTGGAGCATCATTTGTACCGTTTTGCAGATTGTACATGCGCTTCAGCTGTTCGGGTACTAAAAATACACCTATTTAGCCTGTTTCGCTGGTGCAAAGTAGCCTCCTTGATATCTGGTGTGAGATATGGTAGTATGTATCAACACAAACATTTTTTCTTATTGGCCGGACCCCATATCACCCTTAGAATGCTCGCTCAGATGCTGACACATTCACATATCCGTCAAAGAGTTCAGCCAGCACTTGAACACTTGATTTTTCACGTATATGCTGCTTCATCGAATGGCAGAGAAGATTTGAAAAACCATGCCTGTACCAGGTGAGTAAAGTCAGCGAATACTGTTGGTAAATAAGAGAAACGATGAGGGAATGAATGACATCAACTACCTAATCGAACAAAATCCTTCATCAAATGAGGAACACAAATGGACCTTTTAATGGAAAAGTCTTATCCTCTGTAGGACAGTCGTCGAAGGTTAACGCTTGTTGTTGTGAGGGAGTCGCAACGAAATGAATCGTTGTCTTTTCGAAAAAGACATTGTTGAGGTTAAAATAGATTTTCGTTGATAAATGACCCACATGGTACAGCGTGCCACAAGAACATTACAACGACAAAAAGGCAAAAGAAGAAATAGAGAGGTTGTTCTAAAGTTAAGATAAATATGTGGAAAATGCAGCAGGAGAAGCAGGTTGCAAGAACGGAGACATTTAATGAAGAACAAGGGTGACTATTCGACAGAAAGAGGGGACGCATGTGCTTTGCAAGCAAAAAAAAGTAGGAGTCTTGCCGAAGTCACGAATGTGTCATCGTAACGCTATGCCAAGCAGCTTTCGAGTTGAAAATGTCACTTTGGTGGAGTGAAGGGCACAACGTTTTTGCCGCTTTTTATTCGAACACTGCTTACTGCTCATTTAATCAAATTACAGTAATGATTATTACTTTATGACGCCATGGGAGAACACTCATTCGTTTCACTAGTATAAGTGAGCCCAAGTTGGAGAACTATATAAGACCAACAACTGGAATTTTGCTGTGCAAAAGGGGGTAAAATGATGAAATTGACATCTGATTTGCTAGTGAAAGCAGCTTTGCCCCGCCCACAAGCGCCTTATTCTTGATTAACTCTGGTGCTTTATATCAGAAAAAGAACCATATAATTTTGGTAATTATTGGAACATTGATTTTGGTGCAAGACATATTTTTCCCGGACCAAAAATAGAAAGGAGCAGGCCCAAAGTCAATTGGTTCAGAGCGGCCAGATGTTCAAAATGAGAGTTGTTCAAAATGTTCAAAGTGAACGCATAAGCAAAAAGATTCTAAAGCAAGGTAGCAGGTAATTCTCACTGCAGAACACAGGGATTTCCTTTGTTCTTGCTTAACAAGTTCAATAATTTCCATTGAATCATTTCACATTTCTATGAGACTAAATTCAGTCGGATATTTGTTCAGATTTGTGCTTTTGATAGGGTGGCACCTTAGGTTATGTCTATACTTAACAAAAACAACTATTCAAATTGACTCTCTATACTGCAGCAGATTCTGGGAAGAACGAATTGTGAAGTCCATGTGCACTGAGCAGCTGCCTGCCCTGCTGTGAACATAATAACTGCACTGACTCGATAGCACAGACGCGCAAAATCAAATCCACATCCCTCTTTTGCAATTGGCAGGCTTGGAAGTCATATCTTTTCAAATAAGCGATATTTCTTAAAAAGATCCTATCGCTTATGCATTGGTGTGCAGGTTTCTGCCTCATTAAGACGATTGTCTAAAGTGCACCAAAAAATTTTCAGGTGGAATATTTTTAAAAATATTCCACCCAAAAATTTCTGTGAGTTCATGTGATACGGTGTCCGATATTCTCTTCAGAATGCTTCCCTAAAGCGACCTTTTTCCCCCTTACCCTCAAAACCAGTTTAGCATCAATTAACAGACTTCGGAAGGATGTGAGACTCGGTCGGACCGCTTAAATTTGCCCGGAAAATTTGACTTGTCCAGCAGAGCCACATCGATTGAGCATAAAAAGCGCAGAAGCGGCCGAAACTTCACAGCGTCTTAGTTGTTATACCGAAACTTAATAGAACTTCAGCACTCTATGAGATTCTGCACCTGCAGGCAAGAATATATCAGACAGCAATAGGAACTGTTTAAATGGAGAAGTTCGGAGAGCATCAGCTAATCCCTTTTCCATTTCTTGACCGATTACCACTAAGAACAAAATCCCTTCTCCGATATGACACTCCCTTGCAATTTTCCGCAAACGCTTCCTGCGATCGATCGCACTTTCGCTGTATTACCCTGTGACAACGATAATAGAAAGGTTTCCTTAGAAGAGGGACTTTCAAAGGAATTTTCTCAAAGGGATGAAATCATAATCTCAAAGCTCGAGCAACTGATTGGTACGGTTGGGTATGAAAAGACAAGAAAAAACTCAGGACGTCATGGTTAAATACTGAGCATTTCTGAAGCATGAAAATAGCTCACTGAAAACTATTAGTTTTTTTTAGCAGTTCTCTATAAAAAAGGAAACCTACATGTGTCTACTGTATTATGGCTTGACAGCGTCTCTGAATTCATTCCTTCTGCGGTTATAACCCTTTATACCTAAACAAGCAAATAAGCGAAAGATATGAACGAAACGAATACAGACAGAAAAGTTCTGCAATAGGAAGGTGACCAGTGAAATGACTAGCATAGAACTGATAATATTAAATGAAAAGTATCAAAGTAGCTAATATCTCCTACGAATGCTGCACATACAATGACTACTGCTCTCCACAATCTACTGGCCGAGTCATACTTTTCGATCGTACGAACGCGTGATGGTACGTTTTTGCGTGGAGTGGACGCGTATCGATCGCACATGCGATTGCGCGATCGGGAAGTTGTTCGCTAAGACAGAAAGCCACTTTTCCGCTTTTCGCGCAACTTCTTTCGTTGCGAAAACCCAGGATCACTCCTAATTAATGCTGGACCTAGGTTTTTCGTTTCGCGCCAAGAAAAGTGGAGAAGTCGTTCTCTTTCCTAGCGATCGCACCTGCGCGACCGCACAATCGTACGATCGCATGGTCGATACCTATCTGCTCTACACTCGGACTGCAAACAAGCGTTAGGATGCCTGAGAAGGAATCTAAGCTCATGTCAAACTGCAAAACATAAAAGGGATACGGATGAAAGAGCAAACAAAATAGAAGATAACAGAGCAACGTAAATTACTGACTGAAATCGCACATGTGCTACAATTTCTAAGAACCAAAACTTAGTTTCAAATGAGACCAGTCGTCAATCGCAACTGAGAAATTATATAACGTAAGATCTTCAAACAGATCATCCCAGTACTACTCATAAAAAAGAAAAAGCGCTGTATTTGTAGAAGTGTACGTAAAATGAAACGATTCACAATAATTGAAGAAATGCTGCTTCAACCGAGAATACTTAGACCCATGCTCGATTACTGTTCCAGTAAGGTGCAGTAGAAAAGTAGTACTAAAAGTCAGGCAACCACAAATGAAACAAAACGAGTATTTCAGGAAACGCAGTACTCCTCAATCCCTGACGGTTTCCGCAGCGGCAGCTGGCAATTTCTAGCCTAGTCGTGTACTCACATGCGTTCCGTGCAGATGCAGAACATACACTAATGCACGCGCCGATTTATCAGCCCTATATTTGTGCTTTGGGCATGGCTAGTGCCTTGAGTTGAATTAGATGGTTGGGTTTGTCGAACCTCGGTTTACGTCCCAAGCAGATGCAAAAATGTCTCAGGGTCTCATCCAGTAAGGGGGGCATCAAGTGGCTGCCCTCACCCCCACCCCCCTAGACTGCCTACACTCCCCCTGGCGCACCGGTTTCTCGAAGTAAA